GATGGGGCGAGCGAGCGTGACCGGATGGCCCAGAGCGGCTTCGCGCTCGTCGCAAGTATCTGTCAGCCATGTCGCAGACGGCGACGGGAGGCGAAGTTGCCAGTCTGCATTGACAGCAGGGCGAGGAGAGCCAGCAGAGTTGCGACAGTGAGCGACGGGCTGGCAGGGGGCCGCCGTCTCACCCATCGACGGCGGCGTTTCAGTGCCTTCAGGCGACAGGGGGGGGCGAGGGGACGCTGCGAGAATCGAGATGAATGCAACCACCTGCGAGTTTCAACCCGTCCATCGCTGCAGATGCAGACCCGGCTGTGGTGCACTGCAGCAGTGTACGTAGGTAGAGTTGGAATTGGCTGTCGTCGGGACGGATGCTTGCATGCAGCAGCCAGATTCGCGAGGCCGTGCCCCCATCATGGTGTGCGATGAAAAGAGATGAATGGTGGTCGTCTGAAGTTGAAATTGATTTTTGAAGGGTCTTGGACCTCAGACCAGGGACAGCCCCAGCTTTCCCCGCATTCCGCCCTGGCTTTGCGCTTCACCACCACAACCCCGCGGGGCACCAGGTCCAGGTGCCGCTATTTTGATGGGGGGAAGCTTTCCAAAAGATTACAGTGGTCTCGCATATCTTGTTTGTCCAGGCTAATGTTTGGCATGTTGTGTCAACCCGGATGGGTCCCGCTGCCGGAGTCTCTGCGAATCTCACCAACCTCAATGGAATCAACCTCTCGGGTTGTGGGGTACGGTTGGAGTTGTAAGAAGGCGGCATTCCCGAGGAATTTTGCTCTGCTTACTCTTAGTGAGCAAGTACAAGCTGGACCTTGAAAAGTGCCGAGGGCGACGCATCCATCGCATTGCGTGAGGGGGGAGGGAGTGCGGGATTGTCCGTGACAGCGAGCTTGAGGCGATGAAGGCGGTGATCAATCATGCCAGCAGCCTCCGGGCCGGACATGGACATACGACACGAGACATAGGGTCTAGTCACGTCCAGGTCAAGTACCAGCCACGGGTAACGCTATACCGGATGACGGGACCTGACAGCGGACCGGAACAGCGGCTTGAGAACATTAGCTGATCAGTCAAGTGAATGACGGAATGTTGAGTCGATGAAGCAACTTGGGGACATCTTGGGGAGAACGACGATCAAGCCTGGCCACGGCCTTCCAGAAGCATCTCAAACAGTTTGACGGCAGGGCCAAGCACCCCTGCCAAGCCACCTCTTCCACGACAGATCCGGAGCCGGTCCGAGCCAAATCTCGGGCTGGGCAAAGCTTGCCGAGCCGGCCCCACCGACGACGGCGCCGGAGCCGGGCGCCCATCGGGCCTCGCTCCCGAGAGGTTCGGATTGGGTAAGCCGAAAAACCTCGTCGTCGGGGGCTAAATCAGACCGCGCTTTGATTAGACAGCGTCGGGGATGGACATTGATGCTCGTTGGTGACCGTCGAGCACATGCCCGCAGACTCCATGTCGACACCTCGGAGCAGCTATCCCGTCGAATTCTCGTCACACTCCAAGTCGTTGGTGAGAACGGCGTATACTTCTTCTATAAACCAACCCCCCAAGTGCTGCCAACCCGATATTCGGCGATGGCATCAGAAGTAGCCCTCCAAATTGGTCAGTTTGACATGTGATTGTCAACCCACAACTAGTCCCTTCCTCCCAACGTCAGTACCCAAACAGTCCTCTACTCACACGGGTTTAGCTTGTGAGACCGGGAATCTTGTCTGGCTCTCCAACTCAACCTCGGACTTGCGAGGTTGGAGAGGCTGTCACGTCTGATGGGGTTCAATCTTGAATCAAGGGCCAAGACTTTCAACTCCCAAGCCAAGCCAAAAAAAACCAGACCCAGCCGGGACGTGCCTTGCGGTATTTCACCGCCCGCCGGGCCTGTGAAACAACCTGGCAGCTGTGGTCAGTGGTCACTGGTGAGAAAAGGCAAAATCGCGAACCCCCACGTCCCTGATCGGTGATGGCCGAGGGATTGGTGGTGATGGGGATTGGTGGCTGATGGCTGATGGCTGGCTCGTTCGAGGGATTTTACACTTTCCTAAACTGTTTATTTGCCGCAGGAGCTCGCAAGAGGAAGAGGAATGAGAGCTGAAATGCGATGACTGTTTTTGGAGAGACGAGTCTTTTTTTTTTTTTTTTTTTGTTCGCCGCCATCGGCCACTGGCAGCAGGTCTACACCCGCCCCAGCGCCTGCCACCCGGTTGCACTTCAGTCTGAATCCTTGCGTCATCCACTAGAATCCCTGCAGAAAGCGATGCTCGACAGGGCGGCCCCACCTAAAATGTCGATGATGGAGCAGCCTAGGCTTCTGTAAGCTTTTCGATACGGGCGGGTAAACCGAATTTGGAGTAGGTTGGGAGCAAAAAAAAAAAAGACGCGATCCAGCGCTAACAGCTTCTTAGTCACATCCTATCTAGAATCCCTTATCATTGATCTCGACCACCGCCCCTCCGACATCGACATTGCATCTCGACTCCCCTCCCTCCCTCCCTTTGCCCTCGTAGTCTTCCTCTGCTGTCCCTCCCCCTCCCCCCTCCCCCCTCCCTCCCCGACCGCACCCACTGCCGGTTCCCCTGACCGCGCCGATCACCAACCTGGCCCAATGGCGTCCTCTTCCAGAGCTATGAGCAAGCTCCCGATGCCCTCGGTAGCCATGGCCTCGCGCATGCTTGCGCAGACCCCTCGCCGCGCCATTGCGACGAGAGCCACCGCCGGAAAGCCACAGAACGCCCTCACGCGCCAGTTCCGACGAGGATACGCCGACGAAGCCGCGCCCGCTCGCACACCCAAGCCTCGCCGGTTCCGCGCATGGCGGTGGACATGGCGGCTGCTCAAGCTCTCGCTCGTCGGCGGCGTTGCATACGTTGGCTACGGGACCTACCAGGACAGGCACCCCGAGCCCCAGGTGGCACCCGACCCGTCCAAGAAGACTCTGGTCGTCCTAGGTAAGCCGTGCCGTCCTCCCCCGCCCCCTCTCCGTGCCTGCCTAGCTCACCATGACCGCAGGAACCGGCTGGGGCTCTGTCTCGCTGCTCAAGCGCCTTGACACGGAGAACTACAATGTCATCGTCATCTCGCCCCGCAACTACTTCCTCTTCACCCCCCTCCTCCCGTCATGCACTACCGGCACCATTGAGCACCGCTCCATCATGGAGCCGATCCGCACCATCTTGCGCCAGAAGCGCGCCAGCGTCAAGTACTACGAGGCCGAGGCGAGCTCCATCGACCCCGACCGCAAGGTCATCCACCTGGTCGACACCTCCGACATCAAGGGCACCATCACCGAGACCGAGGTGCCCTATGACATGCTCGTGATCGGCGTCGGCGCCGAGAACGCCACGTTCGGCATCGAGGGTGTCCGCGAGCACTCGTGCTTCCTCAAGGAGATTGGCGACGCGCAGTTGATCCGCAAGAAGATCATGGACTGCGTCGAGACGGCCGCCTTCAAGGACCAGTCGCAAGAGGACATTGACCGCCTCCTCCACATGGTGGTGGTCGGCGGTGGCCCCACGGGCGTCGAGTTTGCCGGCGAGCTGCAGGACTTTTTCGACGAGGACATCAAGAAGCTGATTCCGGAGATCAGCGACCGCTTCCGGGTCACGCTGGTTGAGGCCCTCCCCAACGTGCTGCCCAGCTTCTCCAAGCAGCTCATCGAGTTCACCGAGAGCACCTTCAAGGAGGAGAAAATCGACATCAAGACCAAGACCACGGTCAAGCGGGTGACGGACAAGACGATCGAGGCCGAGATAACGCGTCCGGACGGCAAGAAGGAGAAGATTGTGCTTCCCTATGGCCTGCTCGTTTGGGCGACGGGCAATGCGGTGCGTCCCGTCGTCAAGGACCTCATGGGCCGCATCCCCGCCCAGAAGGACTCGCGCCGCGGCCTGGCTGTCAACGAGTACCTGGTGGTGCAGGGGACGCGCGACATCTGGGCTGTGGGCGACTGCGCTGTTGCTGGGTACGCGCCCACTGCGCAGGTGGCGGCCCAGGAGGGCAACTTCCTAGCGCGCCTGTTCAACAACATGGCCAAGACCGAGACGCTCGAGGAGGACATCCGTGAGCTCAGCGGCTCGCTTAACGTGAAGCCGGGCAACTCTGCCGAGATCTCGCGCAGGATTGAGGAGACGGAGCGCCAGCTGCGCCGCATCAAGGACGTCAAGCCCTTCAACTACAGCCATCAGGGCAGCTTGGCCTACATTGGCAGCGAAAAGGCCGTGGCCGACGTCAGCTGGTTCAACGGCAACTTTGCGACGGGCGGCAGCCTGACGTTTCTCTTCTGGCGGAGTGCCTACCTGTCCATGTGCTTTAGCTGTATGTCCCCCAATCTTGCAAGGATCCAAGGAATCTTGAACTGACTGACATGGCTTGTAGCTCGCAACCGGCTCCTCGTTATCAACGACTGGTTCAAGTCGAAGCTCTTTGGCCGTGACGTCTCCCGCGAGTAGACGCCACCATAATTTTTCCGCACCCCATATACCCTCGAACACCGGTTTTGGCGCTTAGCCTTTGCAGCCACTGCCTCTTCACCGAATGCGTCATAGCGAAGCGGTTTGCCCCTGGGCGGTGGAGACTCGGCGGATGGGAACCTAATAGACACGGACCTTTATAGACACCTGGGTAATGAGGGAATAGGGACATGGAAGACTGGTTTTTGGGAGGAGGTTGAGACGGGAGGTCGGACGCCATTGGCGATTCGTTCGGGTCCCTTATTTCCTTTGTCTAGGGGCGGCGGGCTCTCTGGACCGTACAGCAGGGAGGGGAGGCAATTTGATTGCCATAGGTCTTTTTCATGGGCAACGGCGCAGGCTGTTTCTTTCAAGTTCAATTGACCAAGCCAACAAAACCCGCTGTGTCCATGTGGGCTATATCACATGTGCGCGTGGATGATGTGCTATGCTGCGGCGCTGAAAAGGGGCCAGGGTGGGCGGGTGATGACGTGGACCTGCCTCCTGGTATGCGGGACATCCATAGGCAGCAATAAGCTGCCAAAGCGCCATGGTCCGGTGGTGTAGTGGATATCACATCGTTCTTATAGATGAGTCTTTGTGCTCTTCATATGCGAGGGTCCTGGGTTCAAGCCCCAGTCGGACCATTATTTATGCACTTTTATTCTAGTTCTTTTTGTCCCTTGTCGCGCAATCGAATGGAAGTTTCTGGATGGTCGTCATTTTTGTCGTTGGCGAGAAAATGGGGGTTATCCGTAGCTTGGGATGGACCGGATGGAGGCAGAAGAGGGGTGGATCACTCCATCAGCATCAGCAAACCCGACGACATAACCTGGAGCAAACATCATCTCTTGACCAACCAAAACACCAAAAGGTCCAAACGACCTGAAAAGAAAAATGTTGCAAAGTATTCCTGGTTGAGACCTCAACACCCGACGTCGCCAAGATGCACGAGATCCTCACCCTCCAGCTCGGCCAGCAGGCCAACTACCTGGCCACTCACTTCTGGAACGCCCAGGTACCTAACCCCCCCCCCCCCCATACCCTCCCCCCCACCCCTAACACCCCCCCCCAGGAATCCTACTTCACCTACTCCCCCGACCCCGACTCCCCCGTCGACCACGACATCCACTGGCGCCCGGGCCTCGCCGCCGACGGCCACACCGAGACCTACACCCCGCGCACCGTCATCTACGACCTCAAAGGCGGCTTCGGCTCCCTGCGCAAGCTCAACGCCCTCTACGACGACCCCAACTCCCCCCCAGAGCCCCTCTGGACCGGCCCCACCGCCCTCCACCGCCAGCCCCCCATCCCCGCCTCGGCCTACCAGACCGCCCTCGAGGCCGGCCTCCCGCCCCCCCAGCTCGCCCCCGCCGCCGTCCGCTACTGGTCCGACTTCAACCGCGTCTACTACCACCCGCGCTCGCTCGTGCAGCTGTCCGAGTACGCGCTGCGCTCGTCGCTGCAGCCGTTTGAGCGGCACGCGTCGGGCGCGGAGCTGTTTGCGCAGCTGGATGCCGAGTGCGATGTCGTGGATCGGGATCTGCGGCCGTTTGCCGAGGAGGCGGACGGGCTGCAGGGGGTGCAGATTGTGTGCGGGAGCGATGATGCGTGGGCGGGATTCGGGGCGGGGTATCTGGAGAGGGTGAGGGATGAGTTTGGGAAGTTGCCGATTGTGGTGGTTGGGGTGGAGGGTGGGGGGGAGGGTGGGGTGGGGAGGGAGAAGCGGTTGGTGAGGTTGGGGAATCAGGCGAGGTGGTTGAGTGAGGTGTATAGGCAGGCGTCGCTGGTGGTGCCGTTGGCGCTGCCGAAGGTGTTTCCCCGGGGGGTGGGGGTGGAGAGGGGGAGCGCGTGGCATACCATGGGGTTGTTGGCGGCGGCGTGGGAGAGCGTGACGTTGCCGACGAGGTTGAGGGAGGGGGAGGGGAGGACGAGGTGGGGGGAGGTGGCGGATGGGTTGAATGTGATGGGGAGGCAGACGGTGGCGGGGTTGCAGATGAGTGTTGAGCCGGCTGGGGAGGGAGAGGGGGATGGGACGGAGCCGCGGAGGGGAAAGAGGCTGAGCGAGGAGGAGCAGAATGAAGGCGCGGTGCTGGATATGCGGTTTGAGCCGTCGTATCAGCTGGATCAGGTGCGTGGGCGGATGAATGGGCTTGGGGGTGGGAAGACGAGCAAGGTGTTCAGCCAGGTGGTCGCGATGCGTGGATATCCTCCTGACGAGGACGACGAGGAAGAGGAGGAAGACCAGGATGTGCGGAACCTGCGGCGGAGGAGAAATGCCGATGGGACGATCACGAAGAGGTACGTTTTCACACCCATCCATTGGGAAATTACTGTTGTTTTGTATTCTGTATTTGCTATGGATAAGGCATGCTAACTGCTCACAGCTACCATTCGCAACTCCGGTTCCCTCTGCTCGACAGCTTTCCGCAGATCTTTAAAGATCAAGAGGGCCAGCCCATCAAGGACCACGTCAACGTCACGACCAGTTTGTCGACCGATTCGTCCGTGTCGGAGAAGATGAAGCTGCTGCGGACGACCGTTGTGCGGTCCATCGGCCTGGAAGACCGGGAAATGGTTGGAAACGACCTTGCCGAGATGGCTGAAGAGTATCATGAAGGCTGGTCCAGCGGGAGCGACGAAGGAGACGATGAGTAGAAACAAGGGCACCACCAAACTCACCAAAACAAACGGCTCGCGTTGCGCTCGATCGAGTCCAAGTCGGTTGATGAGGCACTTGTGCCCCGAAACCCTAACCTTTATTAGTCTAACAAAAGTACAAAAAAGCTACACGTTTGAGACGAACATGAACAACCATGGTCCTTATGAATGGTTTGCTCGCTTTCCCTGACACCCCACCTTCATCCATCCCTCAACACGCATTCTCGTCCTCTAGCTCGCGGCTGCTGTCATCTGTTGGCGCTTGGCGTCTGGCTTTCCAGGGTCCTCCGAGGCAAGGCGCTTCTTCCTAATCGGCCTTGTCGGCTTCACCTCGCCCGGCTCAAAGACGTCGCCCGGCAGCTCCCAGCTCTTGAGATGCTGTATTGTTAGGCACATGAGTTCGGGCTGGAAGATGTCGTTGCTCATGCACATTGCCTTGAAGTCATTCACCTCCCTCGACAGGTCCAACGACTTGGCATTCTTCATCAACTGCAACCCGATGTAATGGTTAGTTGTGTAGATTTCCACCTGAGCGTCAGCGGGGGGTTTGAGTTCCGGGATATCAGCAAGCTTGACTTGCGCCTCCTCGCCTTCAACAGTTTCTCCCTTCGCTCCATTCGGCATTGTTGTGGCCTGGTGGTCTGTCTCTTCTGCCTTGATGAGCGGGGCACCATTCTCTTCCTTGGGCGGTACGCTCGTCGCTTCCTGGGGTGAGGCGCCATTCTCCCCTTTGGGCAGGGTGCCGTTCGCTTCCTTGATCTCGCCCTTGATCTCGGGGTTGGTGTCGGTCTTGACGTCGGGCTTGGTAGTAGAAGCTTCCTCTTCTGCGCAATCCTTCTCGGCCAGGTACGTAAGGCTGCCGGCTTGGACTTCTTCAATCTGGACATTGGTCCGGCATCGGTGAACCCTGTCGTAGCCTTTGGTGAAGGGTCGGGCAACGTCGATTGAAGGGTGCAAATCCAGCTTCTGAACCAAGACGCGGACTCTCGACTCAATGAATGAAGACCACTTATTCTGTGCCTCTCTGGTTCTGCTTGATGACACGACTGTGAGATAAAACTTGAACCCTGTCGTGAAGAAGGTATGCTTGGTAAAAAGATCATTCCAGGCCCGCCTTCCCAGCATGATCTCATCTGTCAGCCTGGCACCCTTCTCCAGCTCTTGCTGGATCGCCCTCATCGACGACATTCCAACGTTGTGCGTGGTGCACATGGACGGGTAAGAGGGCGTGATGATTGGCATCCGGTGGTTCCGGTCGCTTGGGTACAACTATTCTAATGGTGAGACAATCAGCAGAGGATGGTGGGGAGGCCGGCTCACCTTTGGATTCCACACGGGCACGCGCGTAACGCTCAGGCCGTACTCAATGTCCTTGAGAAGGACAGGGAGAGGCCAGGGCCACTTGAGCATGATGTTGAAGAACTTGTTGACGATCAGGGCACTCGTCGCCTTCGGGTACAGCTGGCACACGCGGGCCACCATGATGTTCCAGGCAATGCCGCCAGGGTATCCGAGAATGTTGGCGTAGATGGCTTTCCGCTGCGCCCAAAGCTTGATGGCCCTGACAGCGAGTCGGAAGGTCGCCGGCTCGGGAACAAGCTGCAGGATCTCATCCGTGACTCGGGTTCCGTTCAGCGAGCGAACCTGGTTCTCGTTGAGGCCGCGGAGCAGGGTGTTGTCTCCCAGGTTCCAGTCCTTGTCTTCGGGAAGCTCCTTGAGAGTCTGGATGGGGCAGAAGATGAGATCGATGCTGATGTCGTTGAACTCGAATTTGATGATCGGCACGAAGGCATCGGGGACCGGGTTGACGTCGGTGATGGCGCCAGAAGGTGCCATCTCCTCCAGAATGCTGGGAAAGATCTTGAAGTATTGCTCGACCGTGACGTATCTCGGGGCAACGACAAGCGTGTCCATATCGGAGCCTGGGCCGTACACGCCAAGGCGATAACTGCCGTATGTGAAGATCCTGCCACGCGCGTTGCGAATGAGGAATTCGTTCTTGGGCTCCTTCTCTCTGGCCGCTCTTTTCACGAACTCGTCAGCCATTTCCCCCAGGGAAACAAGTATCTCTTTTCTCTTTTCCGTCTCCATGGGCGTCTCGAATGTGCCCTGGGCCCGCAGCTCCTTGAAGAGAGCATCGTTGAGGACCTTTTCTTCGTCGGTCGGGAATGCCGTGGAGATGGGCGGGGTGACGCCGTAAACGCGCTCCATCTTGGCGGTTGCTGTTCAAGGCGAGGTGGAGGACGTGGGCCGAGGATTCGCAGTGTGGTGTTGACCGGTCGCCGTGCCTTCGGCCGCGGCGTTTCGGGAAGGAGGGTTGATGAAAGGGATAATCGAGGTCATCAAGGCGCGGCGTCGTCCAGCTGTCGAAAAGGCAGTTTGGGAAACCACGGCGACTTGGGGACTAAAGGAACGGCGGCGTTGCCGAGATCAACTCATGGCAGTTATGAAGGCACCAACTCCGGCCGATTGCTATGCGAATGCCGGGGGGGGGTTGATGGATGTTGTTTGAAGTTCAAAGAAATGGGACAGGCGCGAAAAGTGGATGGGACGCCCTCGCAGTCAGCGCGTGTAGCACTAAAATAAGTGGGTTCCTTGCAGTCATTTTATCGATAAGGTCGGGGTCTCAGCTCAGTGTCTCGAGAAGCTCCATCTTGGACATGAAGACGGGCCATATAGCCAAAATGGAACCAATTTTGATTGCTCTCCCATCGGTATTAACTGCACCCCCAATACCCGTATTCTTTTTCAACGGAAACGCAGGTCAAGATGGCGGATCTGGAGACAGGTATAAGGCGAAAAAGTGCCACCGCGGTACCGAGTCTCATAATTCACCAACCAGATCGAATAAGGTACGCGGTAACGCAGCAAGTCACCTGTCCGTCAGGGTTCTCGCAACGCGTGATGAAGCAACACACTATCCCTCTTCTCCCCGGAAATGATGATGTAAATACTACGAGCTGGGGGAAGAAACTCCGTCGCAAAT